GAGATTGGTTCAGATTCTTTCGTTTTTAGATCTTCAAACTCAATCTTAAGAGTTTGGAGATGAACTTTTATTACCTTATCAATTCCTTTAAACACTTTCTCAAGAGTCTCCCATGCATCCTTTGATGTTTTTGCTTGAGCAATATTCTCAAAAGTAACATCATTCACTGCTTGTTGGATGATTATATTGAAAGATCCTTTTGGTCTTTCATCATGAACTCCTTCAATATCTTCTTTTGTGCTTGAGAAAGAGCGGGCCCGTCCTTGGGTGTCATAGCCTTCTTCAACAATTTTCCATATATCTTGATTGCCAAGATATGTCTTCATTTGGATGCTCCACCACCTATAGTTGTCGTTGGTGAGTCTTGGGAAAAATAGGGGTGTGCCGGTGAAACCGAAAACCAAAAACCGAATCGAAAAACCCGAACCGCAAGCAAAACAACCGAACCGCAAGAAAAATCGAAACCAAACTCAAAAAACAGAACCGAACTGTAGTTGTTTAATTGGTTTTGGTTTTCACATATCAAAACCAAACCAAACAAACTGAACTTTTTAAAACTTGCTATTTTATTTATTTATTTATTTATCATTAAGTATAATATTTTGTTTGGTTCTTAATTCTCAATTTTATAAAATTAATATTTGATACTAGATTTATTATGATTTGCAAGATATTGACATTTGACATTTATGGTTTAATTTAGTGAAACACTTATACATACACTTAAGTCTATTGCTATAATATTAACATGTCGATATTTTAAATCGTAATTTACATTTTGCTTGTTGTTGCATTATAATGAAATTTTGTTGATAAATTATTTTTGTATGTGTGTTGATCACACAATTTGTATATTCAACAAATATGTATTATTATATAATATACTTTAAACAACATAGCAGAAAATGTTAAACTTTATAACATAAATACCTTTGTAAAAAAAAGTAGAATAAGTGATTTACAATCAATAAATGTCTTTTAGTAAAAAGAAAATGAATTAGTGGATACAAAATTTACAAATAAAATTTTAACTTGCAAATACTCTATATATATGTATAATTCGCAAACAAACTTATGTGTTTAATTAATTCAGAAAATGTTTAAATATAATTGATGTACTCTCTAATTCAAGTGCATTTTTTATCTCCCTTCTTTATTTATGTTTTTGTATTGTATTACTATTAGTTATAGTTTGATGCTTTTTTTCAATTACTATTTTTATTATAAAAAAAATTGGCAAAAGCCGAAAAAACCGAACCGAACAAACCATGGTTCCAAAATTTTGAACATAAAACCGAACCAAATTGAACCAATTAAACTTTTTACTTTAGTTCAGCATTTGATTTTAGGCGAAAACTAAACCGTAATCAAGCATTCCAGTCTAGCTGGTTGTGAGACTTCATGCCTAGTGGGAGGTCTCGAGTTCGAAAACTGCTACGCACATAAGGGTTCAAAACTCAATGGAGTGAGTTTCATCCCAGATTACTCCAGCCCCCCCCCCCCCCCAAGCCCCCTCCCAGACCCCCTTGGAGTATAAAAAAAAAGAGGTGAAAACTGAACCGTTTGAACGAACCCACCCCTAGTAGTAAAGTATTTTGGAAGAGAGAATTTTATAAAAATAACTTTTATAGTTTTATTGCTACAAGAGATTTCTCAAGTTTTGTTTGATACAAAATGAGCTAGGAACATTCTAATTTTTACTAAGGCACCTCCTCAATTAATGGCTAGGAGCCTAGGATGTTGTCAAGACAAATCTAATGGCAAATTATACTGTGGTACCGGTATACCATGCTCATGGTATACATGTACCACATACAGTACCGTTTTTGGAAGGCAATAGCTCCCCAAAGTCACGCGCAATCTTTTGACCGCATGTTTGAGTGTTTGACTGCTTCTTCCTTCGGTTGCACATTTTCTTTTTGAAAGCTCCGTTGCGCATTCTAAAAAAATGTAAAATTTAAAACTACTCACCATCAATTTTCTTAGCTCTAGTAAAAAACTAAAAATATGCCAATTTCTCACTTTATTAAAGTTATCAATTCCAATCGGCTGCACACAAAATATTCAATCGACTAAAATTTGAAAATATAGATTTATAGATACGTACAGCCTAAACAGAAAACTATTAACTAATTAAATTACAATTGCATTAATTTTTTTCTTTACTAATTTATTACAAAACTTTATTAATCCACCTTAATTAAGTATACATTGTGTTTCATAATCATATATTGTTATTCACTTTTTTTTCTTCGACTAAAATTACTACAAAATTTATTTTATGTGTAATTGTTTTTTACATTTATACACTTTTTTTGTAAAATAGTTGTTATATTCACATGCCGGATCTCTTTTATATTTTTTTTTTAGTTTTTTTCAAGCATTAAGTAAATGAAGTTACATCTTAATGTACGCGAGTTACAACTTAATATACGCGATTTACATCTAAATGTATGCGAGTTACACTACGGAAAAACCCCTGCTATATCATTTTTATAGCCCTAATATTAAAAACAAAACATATTCACTATTTAAAAAAAGTAATTGGGCTATTAGGATCAATTTTTCATTGTTTACATTGAAGTCAATGTTTATAATACACTCACATATTATTCTCAACCACAAAAAAAATCATTGTTCTATTTTCCAACAAGTTACATTCTGTATACACCCAAGTTACATTTGTCATCAACGCGAGTTACATTTGTAATAACACGAGTTGCATTAAATAATCAAACCCTGCTATTGAAACAAAAAAATGATACTCCGTATTTTCTAAAAAATTATTTTTTATGGCCATGATATTAAAAATAAAACATATTCACGTTTTACCTAAAGCATTGTGCAATTACACTCTCTTTTTTCATTGTTTACATTGAAATCAATATTTGACAAGTTACATTTTGGATGAGTTTGAGTTACATTGATCAATAACGCGAGTTACATATCTTTCCGCGCGAGTTACATCATCCATACTATTGGGACAAAAAAAGTCATTGTACACATGTGTATTGTTCACGCGATTTTTTTTTATAAATTGTCCAAAACTACATCGTTTTGGAAGTGAGAGCATAATGCTCATGGTGGGGCGGTTGCACGGTATACCAACTGAAATCTAATCTAATGACTCTCATTGATTCTCTAGAAATCTCCTTAAAAATATATATCTACATTTTTTTTTATCCTTAGAAGTTAGACCACTGGGCTACCTTCGTTTCTTACATATCTACATTCTACACCCTTTTACTATATTTAGATAATTTTAAAAGAATTATCAAGAATATTAATCTAGAACTTGGATCATCCATTATAGGCTACCTCTTATTTGTGTCTTTTCAACTTATTCAAAAAAAAATATCAATGGATTAGCTAATGAAGTTTAGTTATTTAACATAAACACGATGACTGCCATACGATGATTGTCATAATTCATCATATAATGAACTTTAACGAATTACTACATATACTCCGTAATAATTTATGTTAATGGTATATTATAAATTTTAGTATAATCAAGCTTGTCCCAAGTTGTACGAGGGCTTTGTGCTACTTACTATAACTAGGCCTTATGCACAATAAAGAAATTGCGCAATTGTAATTAACAATTACATTTTAATTACCTATAAATATTACTACGTACTATTTAATGTTTGTAATTAAAAAAAACTAAAATAGGAACCTTTAGTCAAATAAAAAATGATTTTGTATATTATGTAGACTATTTTTAAAATTTTGCACGCCCCTAATCTACGACCCTGAGTATAATAAATTAGTGCATACTTTCAATAAAGTAATTCATTAGTATAATACGTTGTACTCCGTATATAATACTACCTTCGTTCTCTTTTAAATGCAACATTGGACTTTTTGCACTATTCACATGTTCTACTTTGACTACGTTTTATTTATTAATGTAATAATAAATATTTTTTAAAAAAATATTATTAAAATTTTCTCATTATAAATTTTCAAAATCTATTTTTTAAACTTTTTTTACTAATCGGGAATTATATATATTAATGGTCAAAGTTGTGCCTCGACAAATGTGAAATGTTAACTGTTGCATTTATTTAAGAATGAAGGAAGTATAAGAAAATGAAAGTTTTCACTAATTTATTACTTTGCCATTATTATATTTTTCACAAATATATGTAAGCAGTGGTGGAGCCACACTTGTTCTAAGGTGTTCACATTAACACCCAAATTTTTGTAAAATGTGTAGGTATATATGTGTAAATTTAAATGTAGTTATTTGTTACTATTAAAATTTCTATTTGTAAAAAAACATTGAACTCCCAAAATTTGAATTACAAATACGTTGATGTCTATAAGTGTAGTTCTTTAATTATATAGTCTTGCTTCCTATGTATGAAAATAAAACATCTAGAGCAATGAGATTCTTCCCTGTAGACCCTGACTAATAAATTAAGCGCATGAAGAAATAAAATATAGAGTAGTAACATCCATATTTCCTAAGAATATCGGAGATCTGATTCATATATAATTTTTTTTCTTTATAATTTTTTTTTATATTTTTACCTGGTGCTCGTTACAAATAGGGAAAACAGTCAAATAGGTCCTCGAACTTTCATAAAAAGGTCAATTAAGTCCTTCTATAGGAGGTTCTGTCCGGCCGTCGCGATTTGGGGCAGTTCCCGGTGGAATTTTTTGATGAAATTTTTTGAACATCTTATTCACCAAGTCTAGTTTACTCATACCAAATTTCAGCTAAAAAGTCAATCGGGAACACATTCAAATTAATTCTTGAAGATAACTGCGCATTTTTGCGTTCTCGAATTAATTTGAATGCGCTCCCGATTGAATTTTTAGCTGAAATTTGGTATGAGTAAACTAGACTTGATGAATAAGATGCTCAAAAAATTTCATCAAAAAATTCCACCAGGAACCGCTCCAAATCGCGATGACCGGACGGAGTCTTCTATAGAAAGACTTAATTGACTTTTTTATGAAAGTTCGAGGACCTATTTGACAGTTTTCCCTTACAAATATGAAATACGTAGTATATACACGTAAAATATGGTAGTTGGTTATTAGTTTATTACAGATAGAATACCAATCCTAGAAGAAGAAAAAGAAGAATACAATGGCAACAGATACCCTAATACTTCGTGCTACGTAGTATATGTATATGTAAAAGAACACAAACTCAAATTGGTTTGTCAAAAAAAAGTAAATGCAGACATTTGGTCCTTAGCGTCACCCACTATATATATAGATTGTTCATCATGGTTCCTAAGGCGGTTTCGTCCCGTTTTCTTGCAAGGCTCTTGGCGAGGTCAATATCGTGTCCGAACGAGACACACCTTGAATGTCAGACGACCACTCTTCCGCAACTTTCTCATGGTTGTGAACCCCGTTGACCTTTTCATTGGAGGCAGAATCAGCACCATCATCAAGGAAAAGGCAGACAACAGCACAGTCGTCAACTTTAGAAGCCGGGTGTTTGTTCCTCCATGATCGAATTGCGGCCTCCACCACCACCTTAGCTGCAGATGAACGTGCTGACGCTGAATCCACTATTTCTACCACCTCTTCATTAGATAGCACATCCCATATCTGTGATTATATACTTTAATTAATAATAAACAAAAACAAACAAGTAGATAGACAGGGGGAATCTATTTATGAAAATATAAAAGGAAAATGATACTTTTAGTTCCCTGAATTATAGACTCAGAATGCTTTTAGTCCACATAGGTATAAAACTAAGATCACCATTACCATTTTTAGTCCTTCAGTTTTCCCAAAGTGGCTTTTTAGTCCTCCAGACACTAAAATAGCCACTTAACTGGAGATTACAAATGGTAATGATAAAGTCTAAAAGCATACGGAGAGTTTGACTGGGGTATTAAAAGTGCAGTTTTCCATCTGAAGAATCAGGAGCAGGATTTATACCCCATCTGTTGCCAAGATAACAAATTCATCTTTGGCTGTTAAGCGTCTGTATGAAACTTCGGGTACAGAGATGAGACCGAAATCCTTGAGACAAAAATCTCCAAAAGCACGTGCCATGGCAAGGCCTGGAAAATCTGCATTCGGTAGCCACACTCTTGTAACCTCAGGCTCGTCATGAAGAGCAAATACGCGTCCTTTACACTTCTGTATCCTCTCTGCTTCCGCTGTTAGATTTAGGAAGGGGAAGTGCAATTTAGCTCTTTTTCATGTTATTTTCTCAACTTATTTGAATAAATTTTTGAAAATTCAGCTTCAACTAAATTCAACCATTTTAGCCCAAATACAGCAAGTCCAGCAAAGTGGAGGAAGGGGTATTCGTGTGATGGATTGATCTCCCATTATCTTTCTTATCTTCTTCTCTTTTTATCTTTTTATTTTATACATAGTCTTTTTATCCTTTTACCTTATCATTTTTATCCATATCTTAATTCTATTTTATATTATCTTTTTTTATCTTTTTTTATCATACCTTATCTTTCTTATCTTTCTTTTTCTTTTGACTCCGATATCATGTATCAATTCATGTCAGCCAACCCCAAAATCTTTTTGGATTAAGGGCCTTAAGGCTTGGATGTTGTTGTTTGTTGTTGACAGCAAGTTCAGCAAATGAGCTAATTCGGTAGTCATTTTAAGCCTTACCAAACAGGTTCTGAATATAATAACGCACATTCATAAAGTTCCAGAAAGCAGATCAACATGAAGGCAGAAACATGAATACAACATATATCTATACCTGGAAGGTTAGGCTTGAGATCAACAGTCAATTGCACAGCAATAATAGAGTTGCCTTTATCTCTTGTACCCAATATGGCTCTAGAGTCCCCAACATTCCCAATTACAAGATCATGTCCCTGAAAAAAAAAGAAATGAACTGATAATCATAATGTGTTTCAAGAAAAAAAAAAAAATAGCAAGCAACTGAAGAATCTTATCAAAACTTGTTAAACGCCTAGTTTGCTTATTTACCTGTCTCACAAGAGTTACAGCAGTTGTCCCACTGCTAAAGGAATCAATACTCGCAGTTTTCAATTCTAGATCCATTACGCTAAAAGACGTCAAAAAGGATTCCTTCAGTGTCTGAAAGATATCCCCGCTTGTATGAACTTTGACTTCATCAGTACATAAAAAGGAAGCACTCTCAGAATTTATGCTCCCTTTTGTACTTAGACTCATGTCCATAGGGACATCATCACTTTTGGTACTGACTTCCAAGAGTGCACTTAATTTCAATGGGAGAGAATCCCTCACTCTTTTTGCAACCATATGTCCATAAGGACCATGACCATCAAAGATTCCACAAAAAACAGCACCTTTTCTTGATCCAAAGTTCTGAAATTTAAAAACGATAAATTATCATTAAATTGTGACCAGACCTATTACTGCAAAAATAGGATGATCATATGCATTGAAAAAATAACTCTACCCCATAGTAACTTAGGGGGCGTTAGGATATCTTCTCAGAACTGAATATACTTCTTCAAGGAACACTAAGGAAATATGCTGCCACATGATTGTTCAGGCTCTTAAAATCTCATTTCCAAAATACCCTAGTTTAATCACACACATATATTTTTATCATATACATTATTTATTTATATTAGCGTTTATATGAGGGTATTATGGCAATGAGATTTTACAGGAGGTGCGCTTTTAAAAATGTTCCCATCTAAATCCACACCTACCATGTCCCTCCAGTTTTTTCTTATTTCACCATCGCCTGTCGTCCTAACCTAACAGATTCCAATCTATTTCTTTATATAGGCCGATCCACACTCTATAGAACTAAAGTGAACATTAAGTAAATAATATATGTTGTATAGCTTTATATGAGTAATTAATAGGTACCGGAGTATTAGGTAGCTTGCAATCCAATAAAGAATAAAGAATGGGAAAAGAAGAACTGTTACCAAACATAAAAGCAGGCAATCGGTAATACAGAACAATAACCACACATAATGCGTTAAATAATAGAAGTGAGCTCATGAAAATCAGAGCTGTTTAATAATAAGTTAAAATACGTGAGGTGCAATACCAAAAACTAGAAGTGAGCTTACCTCCCAAACGAGCATTGCATCCTGGTTATTCCCTTTCCTGCCCTGCTGTGTAAAGAGGGAGGCCACCTCACTAGAGCCATTCAAAAACCTTCTCCCTGGAATCCTATGCAACTGGTCTTCCTTCCAGCTATGGTGAAAGGAGGAAGAATGCTTCTTCATAGAGGTCTTCCGCTTCTTCCCAATCGAAGAGGCGGGAGAAGGGAGAGGGCTCCTGCTTCCTGAAGAAGAAAAGCAGGACCCCATATGTACGGCCCTCGCTACATTCAACAAGCACTCCACAACAACACAACCAACCCCTCTATGTTCCCGATTGGGATCCGTTACAACTCTCTTACTGTTATAAATTGATGTTCCTCAAACCCTACTTTCCCAGAACTACCATGAAAAGAGAACAAAAGGTGGGAAGAGAGAATAAACAGATATTTGAAATCAGCCGAAATGTTCAAATGCCAATGTTCAGACTTCCAATTATGCTGAAGTAAGCCAAGGTGTACTGTTAAGTGTTAATTCAGGCATGAGAGAGAGAGAGATACATACACTTACTCTTGTATATCACATACGGATTATTGCACAAACAAGCTCAGAATTTCATAATAACAGAGAGATACTAAAGAAAATCGGTAAAAAGCGTAGGAACATCACATTAATGAGCAGAGGAAAGAAAGAAGAAGAAAATTGAGAAGGGCAAATACAATATTTATGTATATTATACTCCGACGACGAGAATTCTTCAATTTTGGAGAGATTGCAAAAGCGGAGATAATTTATTAAAGGTGTAAGACCGCGAATACAAGTAATGTGTGCTTTATATGCGTTAATACGGAACGTATAAATAGGTTTCATACGCGTACGTATTGCACGAGTACGTAGCTTTGTGCCGTACATGCAGAGTAAGCAGAAGGGAAGACGATGAAGAAAGAAGAACCGTGCTGCAAAGCATGACCTCTAATACGCCATTTCCGTCCTTTTCAAGACTTCAAGATGCGAGCGTAGTATGCAAATATTCTTCAACCTTTTTAACAAGAAAAGAAAATTATTGATTTGGATAAGCTCAAACTTTTAGGTATGACAAATCAGCATACTACTGGTTTTTTATTTAAAAGAACAAAAATTCCTTTTGTACACGTTTTTGTACCCATCAGTACACGCATGTGTCTGTGAGAGTTTTTTTTTGTCTGTGAAGTGCGGTCCACAGACAAAAGCTGGTTTGTTTTGTCTGTGAAATTTTCCACAGACAAAACAAGCGAACTTATGTCTGTGGACCGCACTTCACAGACAAAAAAAACTCTCACAGACACATGCGTGTACTGATGGGTACAAAAACGTGTACACCAAGAATGGTTGAGAATTGTATTTGCAATTGGTCTTATCTACAACTATGACCATTTTCCACGTATTTATTGGTTTGGCCGTTAGACTGCCTCCAACGTTAGACTGCAGTTCTCGGACCAGTTCTATGTTTTGTTTCGGAGCACGACTTGATCTCTTTTCCTGCAATCACTTATAACCAAAAGTAACATTAGTCGTTTGTCATCAACAAAACAATATGTTCCAACACAGGGTCTAGTACCCGACCGGGTATATAGGGTACCGATCGGCTACATTAGGCAACCAGAAGGTGCTGAAATCACATCCAACCCGACTGGGTTGAGTACCAACCTGACCGGGTTGAGTACAAATCAGATTTTCCATGTTCTTCTGATCTTCGACACGTCTTTTTGTTTGATGGCAACTCATACCCAACCGGGTTGAGTTCAAACTCGACCGGGTTCGAGCACGTAGCTTTCTGGTTGCTTCACAGTCAATTCCAACTCGACTGCGTTATGTTCCAACCTGACTGGGTTATGTACCAACACTTAAACTTATGTTTCTTCTTCCCTTACTTTGGTACCTATAATACACCCTTACATCCCTTTTACAACAAAATACACACAAGAAATACAAATTATATCCTATAAAATGAATCTAAAGAGTACATTACAAACTCAACTAAACAAGTAAAAACAACAAACAAACAATAATAAAATACTCCCTCCGTCCCATTTAAAGGTTCTCGTCCACTATTCTTCAGTCAACGTGCATTGTTCTTAATCTCTTACTTTATATATTCAATTTTTATCAAATTTAATTGTTCTTGAACAGGTTTAATAGAACTTTTAATGTAGTTTCTAAATGTGTAACTTTTATTTACTGAAAAATAATCTTATTAATGACAGGGATCAGTTAACATTATGGTAAGTCAAACATCGTAAATCGCGTGGGAACCTTGAAGTGGGACAAAGGGAGTAACAAACTTATGCACTACGAAATAGTGCATATTAGAATGCCTTTCTGGCAATGTTTGAGGACCCTTCTCTGGATGACGAAGAAAGGGTGTTGGCTGAGCGCTTTGCCTATAGCGGCACTCAGAGTCTTCAGACGCTCGTGATTACTGCTACAATAATGCAGGATGCAGGGATAGGTAAGTCACCTATGAGTCGTCCGGGGTGTGTGGATTATTCTGTTCTTGTGTTTTACCAATCCATTCCCTTCCTTCTTTGCAAGTGTTTACTTAATTCGCTCTTCCTGAAATGGACCGTCATACCAGGATTCCGTCGAAGTCGGGTGGCTCACAGGGCAGCCCCATGCTCAGAGCACTTCTGACATAGGCCCTGCCTGGAAGAAGATGAGGCTTGACTCGGCCCCTCATTCTGTTGAGCCAGTGGATCTTATGAATGATTATCCTCTGGTTCCACCATTCAAAACCAAGGTTCTCCAGGAGCATGCCTCCGGAGGGGATGGCGGTTCCTCTTCGAGCATCATTAAGTTCTCAGGGTTAGTGCCTCGCACGGATTCCAAGGTGTTGTTCGGCTAGACGCCTTCCTCCCTATGGTGTTCGATTGGGCTCAAGGTTCCCCCGGAGTTTGCTTCCTGGGAACAACCCAAGGAATTGGTGGAGGGCGACTTGAATGAGTTGACCGAAGGCGATGTGTACTTCTAAAGGTCCGAGTGGCGTTTGAGCTTCAGGCCATGCAGATGAAAAAAATTAAGAACGACGCTGAGGCCTTGCTTCGAAGTTCCATAGACTGCACTGCTCGGCTGCAAGCAAAGGCGGATCTCTTCGATAGAACCGCTCGGGATAATGCGTCCTTGAAAGACAAGCTCGGGCGGCATGCTGATGAACTTAGGGAACTCCGAGCCAAACTTGCTATTGCCTATTGAAAGATCAGGGTTGTTGTTCGACGGACATGGCGAAATGGCCATGGGGTTGTGTATGAGGCAGATGTATCCTCCATCAAGATGGCCAGCTCGGCAGATTTTCAGCATTCCAACGCCTGACACGAGGCATCAAGGAATATCGCTCGACAGTTCGTTCCTCCCCCGAGATATTAACGAATACCTTGAGCAAAGCAATGAGCCTTTGAAGGATGGTATCAAGTTGCTCAATGGGTCTCCCGCGTGTAAACGGTTCCTCAATGATCTTGTTGATGATACTTTTTCGAAGGGCATGGTTTGTCTGGTGCGGGATCATCTGCCTTTATTCGAGCAGTGTTTCTTTGCCCCTTTCAATCAACGGGTTGTCGCGTGCAATGCCATGTTTATGGATGTTTACCAGAAGGTGCTTCGCCAAAAGAGTGGCGGAATAGAGCGGAAGAATTTTCTTTTTCATACGTATCGTAGTGTTTTTAGGTATAAGAAGATAAGAAGATAAATCGGCTAACAATTGAGGAGAATAATTTCCTCTCTCATATGTAGTGTTTTTAGGTATAAGAAGATAATGCGGCTAACAATTGAACGGAAGATATTTATCTCTCGTATGTAATGCTTTTAGATTTTAAGAAGATGAACTGGGTAATAATTGAGCAAGAAAATTCTCTCTTTCATATGTAGTGTTTTTAGATATAAGAAAATAAATCGGTTAACAATTGACAGATGAGTTTTCTCTCTTTTACGTAGTGTTTTTGGTATAAAAAGAAAAGTCGGCTAACAATTGATCATAAGAATTTTCTTTCTAGCTCGTATATAGTGCTTTTAGTAGGGGTGGACATGAAAACCGCACCGAACCGGTACCGAACCGGTACCGAACCGGCCCGTACTGGTACCGAACCGAATATCGGGTATTTAAATGGTTCTATCAAATTTTATCCCGAACCGAAACCGTACCGTTTCAAACGGGTACGGGACCGGTCCTAGATTTTGAGAACCGAAAAATACCGGACCGACCCGTTCAAAAATAATGTCTTTGAGAATTTTTTATATTTTTCCATACCCATAAATATCTTTTATAGATCAACAACTTTATAGCCCAAATATGTATTCATGCATCTCGACCTAAAATAGCTAAGTGTGTGTTATATAAATATTATTATGTTCTCCTTTGAGATAATTAATTTATGTTATATTTGGTATATAATGAAAGAATGTCAAAGTTTTAAAAAACATTAATGACTATTAATTTCTAGTAATGTAGTGTATATGACTTTTGTTGTATTATATTTGTGTAGTTTTATAACTCAATTAATATGGTTTGAATCATAGCTCTTACGGTTCAACTATGAACTACTCCGTATATTAGAATTAATATTCAACTTAGAACAAAGAAGAACATTAAATATTTGTATTTTGTTCAATAATTTAACGATATTCTTTCTATATGTTCTCGTGAATTTAATAAAGATGATATTATACAATTGTATATTGTCATTTTGCTATACTTTTACTAAATTCCTTTCACTGTTTGAGTGTTTTTGAATTTAAATACAAAAATGTCAACCTCTTGAATCTTTTTTAGTATTTAGTATGCACTTTCTTGTATTTTTATCAAAATTTCACGTCAATTGGCCCGTATGATGATATCTACTAATTGCAAAATTTATTCAAATGTTTCGGCATGTGTTTGGCATTGTACCGAACTGTTTTGTACCGTTCCGAAACGACATGGTACTGAATGGTTCTATCCTTAGAACCGGACCGTACCGAACCGTTAAAAACCTCACGGATACATTATGGGTTTTGCTAATTTACCGGACCGTTCCGGACTGCGCCGACCCCTAGCTTTTAGTGATAAGATAACCATGCTAATCGAGTAGGAGATCTTTCTCTTTCATACGCAGTTCTTTAAGGTGTAGGATAAGCCGCTCAATAATTGAGTGGGAGAATTTTCTACTCCCTACATTCTAAATTGATTTGCGAAATCAATATTTATTACAGAAATTGACCTAAATAGGAGTAAAAACGTTTTGAAATTCCAAAATAGGAGTATCATGTTTTTTATTCCCTGAATAGGAGTAAATTTCTGCCAAGTTTGGCATTACAAGGCTTTTTAACATGGCATTTTCTTCCAAACTTGCAGATTACTCCTATTCAAGAAATAAAAAAAATGATACTCCTATTTTGGAATTTCAAAACGTTTTTACTCCTATTTAAGGAATTCTCTCTATTTATTAGGCAGCCAATATTAAAGTTAAATTCTTCATATTATAAAATATAGGAAAAGTTGACAAGAATAATCTCACCTTTCACCGGTGTTATCATATATAATAATCTCACCTTTATGTAATCCAGAATAATCCCACATTTGCACCCCATTTTCTTTCGTTGGACATTGACCTGTTGGTGACCTGTTATACCAGGTTTTTAACCCTTTAATGAAAATCTCATATAAATAATCCCACCTTTCACAAATCTGATCAAAACGGTCTCATGGTTCATTTTTTCTTTTTTTTTTTCCTAAAACTTTTCTTTCTTTATTTTTATCCCGAGACATTTTTTATTACTTTTACTATCACTTTGTTCTTATTTCTTTTTCATTTTTATGATTCTATTTTTCACTCTATGAGGAGAGATTTTTTTGTAAAATTTCTCTTCAAAATAGCCCTTTTTTGTCGTTTTCTTTTTTCTTTTCGTATTTTTATTTCATTTCCCTTTTTATGTTTTTAATCTTAATCAATCTCTTCTTATTAAATATCTTATTTTAAAAGTGAAAATATAAAAGTGGAAAAGTGAAAATAAAAAGAAATCACAACAAAAGTTAAAGTGAGAATTTTTTTAATAAGAAGAGAATGATTAAGAAGAAAAACATAAAAAGGGAAATAAAATAAAATACGGAAAGAAAAAGCAACTGACAAAGAGGACCTATTTTGAAAAGAAATTTTACAACAAAAAAAATCTTCTAATAGAGTAAGAAATAGAATAACAAAATAGAAAAGAAATAAGAATAAAATGATAGAAAAGGAATAAAAAGTGTCTAGGGATGAAAATAAAGAGAAAAAATTTAGGGAGAAAAATAAAAAATAAAATATGGGACCGTTTTGAGCAGATTTGTGAAAGGTGAGATTATTTCTATAAGGTTTTCAAAGAAAGGGTATAAAAATCTGATATAGTAGGTCATCAACAGGTCAGTGTCCAACGAAAAAGATAGGGTGCAAAGGTTGGATTATTCTGGGATTATATAAAGGTGAGATTATTATGTGAAGACCAGTGAAATCTGAGATTATTCTTGTCAATTTTTCCTAAAATAATTCAATTTTTAATATTTAAAATTTACATATGTAGAAACTACATTAAAATCTCTTTAAAGATGCAAACTGCAAATTAGAATATGATTAAAAAGTGACATCCTAATTAAATGAATAAAATGAAACTGATTGATAAAAAAAATCAATTTTGCAAATCAATTTGGGATGAAACTAGTATATCATACCCATATTTAGTGCTTAGCAAATCAATTTGGCAAATGAACTGTCTTAAAATTGAACGGAAGAAATTTATATCTCATACACGTAGTGCTTTTAGATATAAGAAGATAAACTGCCTAATAATTGAGCTAGAGGATTTTATATCTGATATGTAGTATTTTTAAGTATAAAATAAAATAAAACAAGTTTGACTAACAATTGACCATAAGAATTTTATTTGATACGTCGTGTGTTTAGGTAGTAGAATACTCCCTCCGTTTCTATTTGTTTGCCACAGTTTGACTTGTCAAGATTTAAGAGAAAAAAGTTATTGAGGGGTAAATTTTACTGTAGAGTACACTGATTGACACTGTTTGAACATTGTTTGAACACTGTTTGGCACTGTTTAGGTAAAGATTAGTTTACCAAATAAGGAAATAAAGAAGTGTGACATCCATTTTGAAACGTCCAAAAAAGGAAAGTGTGTCAAACAAATAGAAACGGAAGGAGTATTAGAGAATAGAGCAGATAGAAAACAAATTTGTAGGTGAACGTAATTGACCTCAAACCATTAAACTGAACTTCCATCAAGAACTCTTTTTGTAACGTGAATATTCCAAAAAGAACCCAGTTTTCAAGAATGAAAACATAGAGAGGCGTGGATGACAAGAATCAGCCCGCACACCTACGAAGCTGGTAGCGACCTCGCAGACCTGTTACACTCGCACAATCTTGTTTTTTTGAGAGTATCCCAAAAAAACAACAGTTTTGTGTGTAAAATCACACTCGAAAATCAAGAATCACTATATTATCTCCTCCTTTAACAATGAATTCAAATTAAAATAGTTTTGTGTGTAAAAATGTGTAAAAATTATTGTGAATCACAAATTCTTTGTCAAAAAATAAAAGGGAGATAAATTTGAACGGAAAACAAATGTCTGAAGATAATTTAAGGACGGAGATAGTATTATTTTGCCAACCATGATAAGAACAGTAAATTATATGGTACAACAGCTCTACCATAGTACCATGCACACAGCTGAGTATTTTAGTTTATAATTAATGACTATATAGTTTAAGAGCCCGTTTGGCAGCACGAAAATCGACTGTTTTGGCTGATTCTGCTGAATTTTATGAAGTTCTGGCTGGAGTGGCTGCATCGGCTGATTCTGCTGATTTAAGAAAAAATTATTTTTAAAATATATTTTTATTAATAAAATAAAGAAAAAATTATATGCAAAAATAGCTAAAATGATCATCTACAGTAACTTCAGCCAATACAATCATAAAAGTAACTTCAACCTTACTTTTTTCTGCTTATTACACAATTCAGCACGCGAAAGCAAAAATTACGTGTTTGGTGAAAAATTTGGCTGATAAGCCAAAAAACAGTGTTGCCAAACGACCTCTAAATAAAATAAGTTTTAGTATTAAATTGTAAAATTAACACAATAAATATTTTTGATGACAATACAATGATAGTACGGTTAAATGAGTAAGTTAATTTGTAGCATATACGAAGTATATCAGCCATCAGGTGTAGACCATATTACTCTATTGCACAATACGGAGTATACACATACTCCCCATTATCTTTTGGGACGCCAATATCTTTTGGGAATACGGTTTGGATGTTGTTGTTGTATTAAATGATCACTTTCAATAAATCAGAATAATCTTTTTCACAAAACTATAAATTCAATATTATTTCATTTATTTGAAAGAAACCCTCGTTTCCCATCCCGCTTAATTTTAATTATATCTCGATTACATATTTACATTCCTTCCAAATATTTGTCTCATACGGTCATACCCAAGTGGTATGGGTTTCCCCTTCTATTGGAGTAAAATATATAATTTTTTCTAGAAGTACCCCTCTAACCCCATTAATTTGTAGTCTTAATACCCCTATTCTAATAAGGGCTTTTGTCTTGAATATTACTAAATTAAGGCCATTTCCCACATAGTGACCATTTCCCAAAAAAGACAAAAATGTGACTAAGAAGGTCATATATTTGGAAAACATGGTGTCACTATAGAATTTTTATGTCACTGTCAGATTTTTATGTCACTTTTCGAATGTCACTACCAGTTTTCATGTCACTTTCGGATGTCACTGTCGCATTGAAACGTGTCACTGTGATCGGCGTATAATTTTCCGGCAACTATTTCCGGCAAACCGAGACCTCCACGACTGGCTGGTTACCACCACCACCTGCCACCCTGCCGGCATCACCATCCCACCGCCACAGTTGCCATCTACCCCTATATAATGTTTTGCTACGGATTGAAGAATAAACGAGAGTATTGCGAGGAAGGTGTGTGAGTTTGTTAGAAAAAGAGAGAAGGAAAGATAATAGAAAGAGAAAAGATTTGAGAGAGAGATTATGAAAATACTTTTTCTATCTCATTCATTCCTTTCCTCCCATATATATCTGTTCGAACAATATAATAAAATAACCCATAAGTACACTATTGGGTTTTAATTTAAATGAACTAGTCAAAATGGACTGATAACAATACTAAATTTATTGTAGCCCAATTCATATTTCTCCCAGTGTTGGATCAGCCCATCTGAAATAATCCTTCCCGCCTCTCCTCCAATTGAACTTCTCTGCTTCCACACGCTCGAGGCATGACACCCTACCCCTTCCCATTCCAACGCCTCAGCACCCCCCGAACCCTATCCCTTGCCCCGCCCCTTGATATGCCCTGCCCACCCTACCCAGCTCATGCTCCGGCCAGCTAGCCCAGCCTCTGATCCACCCCTCCGCAGGCCCAATCAACCTAACCTATGCCGCCAAGCCGCCGCATCAGGCACCTTAACCACCGCCCAACGTCGCCCAACACTATTGCCGGCGAAACATCCTAGCCCAGCGCCACCCAGCACGCTCGCCGGCCGTGCCACCACTCCACACCAAGATATCTCCACCCCAAGATATCTCCACCGGCAACAACATCCATCGTCGAAGGGTTGACGAAGAAGGCGATTGACTGCCAGATCTCTGGAACTTCGTCGCCCTGGTAGCAATGAAAGAGGCAGATCTGGAATTTTAATGTTTGCAGCAGATGGATGGATGTTAGTAGGGGAGAGTGAAATTCATGCGCAGGGATGGGCTGGCTAGGAGATGGTGTTCTTCTCCTGCGCAGATAGAAGTTACGAGATGGAAGAAATCCGTTGGGGAGTTACTTGTGTACGAGCGGTAAAGAAAAAGAACGGAAGGGATGGATCACTTTTTTGGCTAAATGAATTTTGATCATATTTTTGTCTAATGAAAGTTGAGAGGTGATATTCATGCCATTCTTTCTTCTAATAAATTAAATGTCCCTCCCTAATTTCTTTGGACCACTGGGTCGTCGTTGGTGGCGTACAGTCCGGCAGTGATGGAGGCGACGCCGAAGCTTTGTAAAAATTGGCAAAGGCGGCGGGATGGTGGAAAATCAATTTGTAGAAATTTTAGCCGGCGGCAGCTAATTGGCTCGCGGCGGGTTTTCTGACGGCATGCATGGGGTCGTTGCACTGTCCTGAAGTGTCGAGAGCAAAGGCATCTTGAGTTCGTAACTATCGGTGGCGAACTCACTATAACTACTGTGAGTTGTTATTGGCGGTAACATTGGTCACTATAGTAGTAGTCACGGTAGCGGGTCAATTGAGTTTAATAAGGGTGTAATCAGTGCTGGACTCGGGCCGGGCGGCCCGGCCCGGAACCGGCCCGGGCCGGTTACTATTTGGCCCGGCCCGGCCCAGGGCCCGGTGGGTCCCTCGGTTCGGTTCGGCCCGGCCCGGCTGCTGGGCGGTTCGGGCCCGGGCCCAGGTTTTGGTGAACCGGCCCGGCCGGTTCGGGCCCGGTCCGGGCCGGATTTTAATTTTTTTTTTTTTTTTGAAATTTTTTTAAGTTTTAGGTTGGATTAGGTATTTTGGGCCATTTGAGGTGGTTTGGGATGGTTTGGGGTTGAGGGGGAGGGGTAGGGGATTAAATAGAAGAACAAAAAAAAAAAAAAAATTATTGGGCCGGTTCGGCCCGGCCCGGTTTGGCCCGGAACCGGGACCGGAACCGGCCACCGGTGGTTCGGGCTCGGGCCTACCTTTCCTGGCCCGAGGCCCGGCCGGGCCCAGGCCCGAACCGGCCCGAGTCCAGGCCTAGGTGTAATAATCACTTTAGTCTTTTTGAGTCTCACTCTTGGAATTTGTTTTAAAAGGACTATTTTTATCCTTTTTGTAAAGCTTTTATTACAGTTTCTGAATATATAATTTTTTATTCTAAAAATAATTTGAGTGCAAACATGAATTTCTTTGTTTTATGAATTGAGCCGGTCAAACATCATAAATCGAATTGTCTCATTCTTAGTGGGACGGAGAGAGTAATATTTTGAGACAAAATGATTATGAGGCTGACACATTATTCACACAACCAGTACATTTATATGCATAAGTGTACACGCTCTTTATTACGAGATTAAAAAGGACAATCATTCTTGTTTTACCCACAATTATACCCACATTTATATCATCATGTTTATGCAAGATTTTTTTTTATGTGAGTCTAATTCACAAACAAAAAAACTTTCTCAAATATGAGTATAAGGTGAATATAATGATGAGTACAAATCTCGTTTTTTGTTAAACCAATTATGAAATGGGTACCGAGTAAAAAAAACGTTTATTAGGTAGCATGAGATTAGTCGGCAGTCGTGCATAAAACATTTTATGTATGACCGTTATGTCATACAAATATGAGTCGTCGATAGATACATAAGGAGTAAATCATAAGCAATTTAATTTAGGGAAAATGGAAACTAATAATCCAACCTTTTAGCGGTCTTCTTACCATAGTCCCACCTTTTGATTATTCATGAATAATCCAACCTTTGCACCTCATCTTCATTCACTGGTCCCTGACCGGTTGATGACCTGCTATTCCAAGTTATTTGCTTATCTTTGCAAAATATTGTCTTTGTGAAAGGTGAGATTTATGGTATAATGGTTTGCAAAGATAAGAAAATAACTTGGAATAGCAGGTCATCAACCGGTCAGGGACCAGTGAATGAAGATGAGGTGCAAAGGTTGGATTATTCATGAATAATCAAAAGGTGGGACTATTGTAAGAAGACCGCTAAAAGGTTGGATTATTAGTTTCCATTTTCCCTTTAATTTATTTACGTGACCTTTCCTGTGAAATCATTTGGATTAGTAGCAGTTAGCAAACAGTACAAAAAAAATGGTATTGACAAAAAAATTAATAGGGATTCGAAAAATTTTGTGAAAGATTTGGGATCTTTTTAATTCGTCCCAGACCAGACCAGACCAGACTTGGATAGTTATAAAAATACAAAGAAACCAGACCAGACCAAACCAGACCAGCAAATTACAGTTTAAGTAAAAACATCCTTGTTTATGTGGGTTGTCTTCCAGCTCAGGTCTCAATCTTCATCCACAAAGGATGATAAAAGCCACTAGGATCAACAATGGAAGGATTGGGCAACGACCTTCCGACCTATTTCCGGCCAACCCGTTGAATTTATCACAGAGGAAATGCAAGGGACGAATTAAGGGAAGTAAGGGTTTTGGTCCGCCAACCTTCAATACAAGAGAAGCACGAAATAAATAAAGCCAAGGATAAACCCAACAAGGAAACTTACCAAGTGAGGAATAAGCTACCAGAATCGCACAAGCACCAAAGGAAAGAATCGCAGAAAAGAAGAAAGGCTTGCGAACGGTAAAATAACAGGGATGGACCGGGTACTTCTCAAGGGTTATTGGGCTTATAGAAATAGTGGGCCAATACCAACAATCCTCCTTGATAGTGATATGTCAAATTTGTGTCAATCTCATAATTTTTTGGTGATGAAAGAAATCAAAATTACAGTTTTTTTTTTAAAGCAAAATTAAAGTTACTCTCCTGAGATGTCTAATATTTGAGATGTTTAAATAATTAAATGCATATTTAGTAGACATACAGTTTTGATAATATAAATGTCATTTATTTGACTTCATTTGATAAAAAATCAACATAAAGGTAGATTAATTTTGTGATACGGAGTACTCCCTCCGTCCCTAATTTATCTTCCAAATAGGTTTGGCACACAGTTTAAGATAGTGGATATTGTGTGGTGGAGAATTGTGCAGAGGAGAGAGAAATGTGTAAGAATTGTTGTGAACCACAAATTCTTTGCCAAAAAGGGAAAGTGGAAGTTTTAATTGGGACAGACGAAAAAGGAAAGTTGGAAGTTTATTTAGGGACGGAGGGAGTATTAGAATCGTTTGAGTTGTTGCAATTTAAACGGTTGAATGTGGTGGTGATTCAGGCCACACAATAATTACTGGGGGTTTTAGTTTGTCATTTTCTAGGGAAGTGGCAGGGGCCCGTACAGGTAGTGTGGCACATACACTCGCGCGTGTATTATATTACTGCCTGCCTACATCTATACCTTTTCTCCTCCCTCCCATTTCTTTCCTTTCTTTCTCATCAATCCACTCCATTGATGCAATCCACCCTTTTACCTGAAAGAACATTACGCATTTGACTCATCTTGGAACCCACACCAGAAATGAGGAATCAGAAGCTGAAAGGTCCTCTCTTTATCTTCTGCAATCTTTTCTCTGCACATTTTCTACGCCGTAAATGTTATACTCCGTACAGTATTCATGTGCAGAGGAAACTGGATGCTTATTAACGAAAATGTATGTAAAACTAACAGCAACACCCACAGAACAGAGGTATCTCCATGAATGTGGAGGTTTTTTTTTTGAAAAAAAATGTCATTTTATTGATCAGAGGGTTTGAATATTTGGGCTTCATTGAAGGTCTTCTTCTCTTCATGCACACATGGGTTTTGACAATAATCTGTAGCAGAGTTTCTTTCAATAATTTGGGGCTTTTAAAACAAACAAACAGAGAAGAAAAGAAAAACCTGCAATTCTGCATTTGCTAGCTATATTTCTGTGTGGGTATTTAATTTATTTTATTGATGTAAAATCGCAATGCATGATACTAAGACAAATAGCTGTGGTGTGGGGGCCGGGTATAACAGGAATGGAAGATAGTGATAAGAAGAAGGGGTTATGGCTGCCAGACAGCATAATGGCAGATATACTGTGCAGATTGTCCTCAAAAGAACTGGCCAGGCTGAGGTTCGTTTCGAAGGAATGGCAGTCCATCGTCTCCGATCGGACATTCGTCTCACTTCATCTCACCATGAAACGACGACGTCCCAAAGAGAAGCTCTCTGGATTCTTCCTCCAAGGAAGGCACTATTGGTGCAATGAGGACATCAAATCTGTGAGCTACATGGCGTCTTCCGACGATGGCGTCAGAAAGGCGGCAGAGAAGAGCGTGCTGAGCTTTCTCCCGGAAGAGGTGGTCATTCTTTCCTCCACTCAAGGCCTTCTCTGCTGCCGGAGCCTCTTCCTCTCACCTTATTCTTCTCAGCCCCGTCTGGTCTATGTCTGCAACCCTCTCACAAAGGAATGGACTTCTCTTGAATGGCCTCACCCTCCTCAAGAAAAAGAAACCAGCACTGCCTTGGTTCTCCACCTCTCCATTTCCCCTACTCATGTTTCCACAGATTTTCATCTCGTTTCAGTTTGCCAAAGAGTAGCCACCGCAATGACTGATTTGGGGAATGACCAGGAGGAAGATGAAGACGATGATGAGTTCGAGTTCCGGTTCAAGACATACTCATCCCGAACGAAAGAATGGCGAGAGTCGAAAGAGGTGTGCATTTGCAGCAAGAAGTTGCAGAAAAAGGGGTGTAGTGTGGGTGGGGAAGGTGGCGGAATCATATACTGGCTGACAGTGGATAACCGTGTGCTCATGTTTGATTTTAGGAATGATCTTTGTTGGATGATCAAGGCACCTTTTCCGTCTTCGGAGCTGAACTTCACACCCGGGGTGTGTTTGGGAGAAGGAGGTGATGATGGGAGGCTGAGGTATGTGCTGATTTCCCAGGATGGGTTCATGGTTTGGGAGCTGGATGATCAGTTTGCATCCGTTTGGTCACTCAAATACTTCATAGCTCCTGATGAGCTGGAGAAGGAGAATCCTGAAAGCATGTTTCGCATCTCCAAGATGCTGCAGTCTCATCTCACTATTGAGTCGGGTCCTTGGATCAATCCTTTGTCTTTCAAGGATTCAACTCTGCTGCTGTGGATATCTCCTGATATCTATGTGTTTGACTTCGAAACGCGGAAGGCGAAATTGCTATGCCCGGAATCCGCTTTAGGACCGAGCTCTTGTTTATCCCCAATTGTCCTTCCTTACACCATGAGTTTGGTTCCTTTAGGTTAACCACACATCATATATATACATATGAAGAGAAGTGCTGGAAGGAGTGTTCCTGTGATCTGTTTTGGTCTCATTGTCAAACTTTACCAGCAGCCATTTTGTTGATCACAAGGGGCGGGCATGCATTCAATAGCTGCTGCTTTTTTGCTCACTACCTTAGTAAAGTGCACCACTGCACATATATATATATATATTTAGACATCTCAAATTAGCTCAAGTAACTTGCTTATTTTGAACTAGAGTCCTAAGAAAGGCAGGTTGACACACTTTTTTGTACTCACTACCAATTGGAGAATTAGTCATTGGGTAGAGTTTAATTTTTGCATTTGGTAGCTCCCACGTGGTTTGTTTGGATTATTACTTCTTTCGGAGTACTATAAACGCTAGAAAATGATGTGCAAAGCTTGATTTAAAAAAATGTTGGCTTACGCCTTTTTGCATTCTGCTGCTTTGGATCGATTACAATTTGACATAATGGTTGACACTTGACATCATCAATTTCGAGTTGATAATTTAGGTAATTTTTGTGAAGCTTGTTGACTTCCAGAATAAGAACCGTATATATATTACTAATGTCAATTAGCCAAGAAATATAAAGGAGGCCCATATAATAACTCTATCATAGAGTCATATCTAACCATATGAGGTGACTAGGGTGACAAACTCGTGTATAGCGTCAAAAGAGTAGCACATACCTTTGATGAACTTTGTGACCGGGAAACCTAACTGTCCAAATGTCGGTGACACATATGATACTTAGATATGAAGGTTACCTATGAACTGTATTAATTGAATTCGAAATACAGCTGTATAGATTATTTTAAACAATGTGAATATAAGGGAGTGTTTGCGATTGCTTCTACTTTTTAAAAGTGATTTTTTAAGAGATTATTGGAAAAATGATTTTAAGTAAAAGTAGATAGTGTTTGGAAATAGAAGTGATTTTTATTAAAAGGTAAAAGTTGGAGTGTTTGATAAAAAAGTGATTTTTGATTTAATGTTTTATAAAAGTACGAATATGCCCTTTTGGTTAAGGTTTTCTTTCTTGTTTCATCAGCCACGTGTTTCTATAATTTCTTTGTGTTTTAAATCAAAAAATTATCCCTGCTTTTGATTCATGGAAGCATCAAGAGTACAATTAAAGAGTCCGACCTTCAATTCTTTCACCAGTAAAAGCAAACAAAGACCAATACCTCAAATCCATCTCCAAAAGAGAGAAAATACACAATTCATCAATAAAACAAAATAAGAACGAAAAATCAAGTAAATTAAACCATACACGTCAGGGCTCTAATCATCATCGCCTTGGAATTTTTTGGGCTTCTGATAGTTCTCCTTCACCTGCTTGGCGACGAAGACGTTGGTTGATAGAACTTGTGGTTGTGGTCTAAAATGGCGGAGCAAGAAGCAGAGAAATTAAAGTTGGCCACGAAAACAAGGAGGGCATTTTGGGTCTGGCCGAAAATGTGTGCCATAATAATCTTCCCTCAAATTCATTTTAATTACAAGAATACCTAAAAGCAGTTAGAAGTTAGTATATATCAGCTTCTCACTTTTGGCTTTAAAGTGTTTTTTTTAATTAGAAGCAGGGTTTGACAAACACTTCTTTCAGCTTTTTTTAAGCTAGAAGCTGAGAAGTGCTTAAATTAAGCATTAGCAAACACTCCTTAAATCAAACTTGACCTACAGAATTATTTTTATAAAAGCTTTGCCACATAAAAAGATGATATTGACATTTGACACTAAGGGCCTGTTTACTTTTCAGTTTTATGTTCTCTTTTTCGTTTTCCAATTTTCTGTTTTTGTTTTTCAGTTTCTTTATCTCCAATTTCTGTTTGATCGGTCGCAATGACTAGTTTGACTAATTATTTTTCGGGATTGTTGACTGGACCGGATCAGATTGGGACTGTCCGATTATCGATCGGACCGGACAGGGACTGCCAGATCATCGACCTGTTTAGAAAGGGACCGCCGGGTCGTCGATCAGACAGGGATCAGATCGGGTCTGCCTGACCCTCGACCAGACCAAAAAAGTATCGTCGGGTCGTTGACCGCACGGTCCGCACCGCAGGGTCATTGATCAAACCCGTGGACCGGATAAGGTCCATCAGGTCATTTACCAAACAGGACCGCAGGGTCATTGACCAGACCAGATAGAGATTGTCGGGTCATTGATCGGACCGGACCGGAACTGACGTTGGAGCGGGACCAAATCCACCAGTACACGTAAATATGCAAATCATTGCAGCATCAATGCAATATTCACGTATTTCAAATTTGGAATACTAGTATAACTCGCTTCTGCAATTGGAAAACAAAGATATATCTCATTTTTTGGTTTTGGAAAACGATTTGGTAAACACATTTTTCTGTTTTCCTTTCTCCAATTTTCCAGATTTTTTTTTCGATAAACACGTTTCTGTTTTTCGTTTTCTAGTTTTTCAGTTTTCCAGAAAACTGAAAAATATCTCTCTTAGTAAAGAGACCGTAATAATCTCTACTTTACACATTTACAAAATTAACTTTTATCGGAAATGTTCATAAGAATAATCCGCACTTGTTAACTATTTCATAAACAAAGCGTTTTGGAAGAGCGAGAATCCCTAGTCAACGGACCTCCTACGCCTCTCGTCATCGATCTTGAGGCTTGGCCGCCGCTGCGGGATTCCGGGGCTCTTGTATTTCCTCTACGAGAAATAAAAACTCCCAGCAAGGCGGGTGTAATAGGCATACTCCGAAGCAGTCTCTCCCTAGCAGGTCTAGGGTTTGGTTTTTCCTTAGCAGATCTAAGGTTTGGTTCTTTCGGTCGGTGAATCCCCTTCATCTGTGTTCGGCGTTGGGATTGGATTTGAGGCAGATTGACAAGAATCCTTGCCCAAGCGTGACGACATCGAAGCCAGAGTTCGGCAATCGATTTCTTCGTGAGCAGGGCAGCAAGGGTATGACAACGATGAAGATGGCCGCTAGCGATTGATTTTCTACGAGCGTGGGACGAGGAGAGTTGTACGGATTTCGAGCAGGCCAGATGATGATTGACAATGGAAGATCATTTAGAGTGGTACCAAGGATACGGCCTCCTCTTGAACCATCACCATGGGTTGTGCGAGATGCTAGAGTCCGTAAAATCTTTCCAATAAGTTTTCATTATTTTGTCATTTGGTTTCTTGTTATCGTCTATATTGTTAGGTTTGTCCGTTTGTTTGGGAATTTAGCCTTGTTTTATGTCATTGAGCATGTTTGGATCTATGAGAATATGTTTGGCTGTGTCAAGCCCGTTACATGGTTAGCGATTCGTGTTGCTCTTTCAGCGGTGAGTGCCGGTGACCATTTCTAAGGCTCATCATAGGGTTTACTGTTGTAGTTGTTGGAGTCTAGTTGGTGTCAGTTTTGTTTTTTCTTTGATTGATGCAATCATCCTGAAACTTATAATATGAATAGAGACTAGTCTTCGTTCCAAAAGAAAAAAAACTATTTCATAAAAATGAATCGTCATTTAACATTGATAACTTAACTTATGCTATGTTGGTTCATTTTTGTGAAAATTTACGTTTAAATTTTGAAACTTGAAATTATTGATGTTTAATTTTTTTTTAATATACATAAGGTAAGAGAGATTTTTCACCTTCGGTGTTGAGGATTGTCCTGCCGAATTCAATACATCGTTAAAATCTCAATCGCCAGTGTTGGTTGCCGCAATCCAAGCCGCAAAAACGATAAAGTGAGAATATTATGAATAGAGAGTTGATAAGCAAATTCTCGGTCAATAACCAATGAATTTAGAGGGGAAAGTCTGAGTATAAATATTTGAAAAATGATGAGGGGTGTCCCAATGTGGATTTTTAAGGATTTTAATTGAATTCAAAATTCCATCAAAGTTTGAGTGTTCTCAATTTGGATTTCTATAGAATCTATGGAAATATGGGTGTTCTCAAACATTCCATGAATTTCAATTATCATTTGTTTGGATGGATTTTTAATTGATTCTCATAGAACGTACTCAAAAAAAATTCTATGAGAAATCTTACTCAATCCCTCAGATTTTAAAATCACGAAAGATATCGATAAAGAGATGGCTGGAAGAGAGACGCACAACCACACATTGCCGAAGCTAGCCGTCTGGCAGTTGGATGCAATTGACCTTGTTTCCGCGGTCGCCGGTAGAGGAGGCTTGCTGTCGCCGACAAAGGAGGTTGTCCTTGTTGGAACGATGAAGCACTCCACTGACAGTCAAGAGCTTTTCATATGCCGTTCAAAGACTAACCTAGAAAACAAAAACAAATGAATGATGTAGATTCCTTTTCGTGTAGTGTATTGGAAAGACCATTTTTTTAGAAGATGAATTGATGAATGCAGAGACGGAATTAGTAGGTACAAGTTCAAGTAAAAGTAGGGTCGTAGACTCGTAGGGATTGGGAAAGGCAATGAGATATAAAATTACTCGAAGGAACCCGACTAGCCAGGCACTGGGAAGATCCCAACATGGCACTCGAGGGGCATTGAGGGTGTCAAGGGGACAAGGCCGTGGAGGCCGACCTTAGACCGTGACAGTCACATGGAGACTATCGACGACTTCAATGGGTCCAAGGAGGACTCGATTTACCAATCGGGAACTGAGCCGGTGGAGACACCTTAGGAAGGGGAAGATGATGATGTTAGCGAGGAGAGCAATGATGATGGCTCCTTGGAAAGAATTGAGGAACTACTCCGTCAATATCAACAATATCGCCAAAGGCATCGGGCAAGGCGTGCTTTGGGAGGGGCTCCGAGAAGAGAGAGTCGTGTGAGTCCTAGCGAATGTGTAGAGTCTCGGGGAGATCGAGATACCAAAGTTACAATAATAAGAATCTCGAAGTATCTCAAGGAGGCGAGGGACTCGTGTATGTGTGAATAATAATGAACTAAAAATCTGGTCCAAAGGTTGGGCTGGTCATGCTGTATTTTGCCTTATATACGGAGTAGCGGAGTACTACGTGATTTATACTCCGTGTAAGCAATTTAAGATAAAAAAACTGATATACCCTCCGATACGATTTTACGAGAGAGAAGGCCTTAGCCAAATGTCGTTGCCGGCAACTTTTCAAATGGGGCGGATGCTCTCTCCCGTCCTCACCCGCCCGCTCATAAACGCTTGCAACCCTCAGTTCTTTTCGCCCCCCTCCCATTACTGTCTTTCAATTAAACCTCTGTATCTTTGCTTCGGATCTTCCGCATCTTCCGTTCGCCGCGCCGCCTCCACCACCGCCATGGGTGACGCCGTCGCCGATGCCAACATGGACGCTGTCCAACGCCGTCTCATGTTTGACGACGAGTAAATACTCTTCTTTTATCTTCTACTATTCTATTTAATATTTGTTTCAAGGCGTCGTTTTTGCTTCAATATATGTACACATCTCTCAGTGCAACGTTATTGTATTGGATTTGAAGCTGCTCTGGATTTTCGTTTTTATCTTCCATGAGTTCTAAATGATTGAAAATATCCAATTTACAATATGTTTCCTATACCAAACGTTCTGTGTTTTCATCATTTCATGAATCCATTTTCTTTTACAGAGTGTATGATCATTTCCCAGATATCATTTTGAACTCACACTTTCTTTCTTTTGCTGAAGGTGTATTTTGGTAGATGAAAATGACAGTGTCGTTGGTCATGATACCAAGTACAATTGTAAGTTCCTTAAACTCTATGCAAATATAAATAGGTACTTGTAGCTACTTTTCTTGTCCTGCTAAGTGTGGAGTTATGGACTGACTATTCGTTTTCCAGTATATTTTTGGATTAACACCGGACAAGTGTGAAATTTTGGATTTTACTCATAAGTTTCGCAATCATAATCGTTAAAGGTGTAATTGCGGCATTTTTTCCTTTTAAGATCTTGCTCGTTATGAATCAACCCGCTTCTGTTAAAGGCCAAACAGTCTGTTTAGCTCATTTGAAAATCAGATCACCATTGTTCCCACTTCCCACATGGTTTAAAACTTCAAATGGTTGGGGGTCTAATTCAAGGAGTAAATCTAAATTTAGCGCCCCTTCTTGCTAGTGTGTCAACACCCCTTCATTTTTTCTTCATTGAAGAATTTGACAAAAAGTTTAACTCCATGTGATCAATATGCAGGTCATCTTATGGAGAAAATTGAATCCGAGAATTTGCTTCACAGAGCCTTCAGTGTTTTCTTATTTAACTCAAAATATGAATTGCTTCTTCAGGTATGCCTTGGAAACACTGTCCATGTTTCTTATTTAATGGATATCAAGTAAAAGAAGCTGTTTCAGTATGGTTGAGGGCGGGATGACCTTGTTTATGTAGACATCAAACATCTTGTTTTAAGATACTCGATGTTCCATTTTGTTTTACAAAAAGACTTACAACTGCTTTTATGAAAAATGCAATGCCATCAGGTCTTGAAAAACATATTTTAAACTTAGAGCCTGCTTGCTAAATGTGGGTTTAGGCAAAAATTGCTGAAGTTGTTGCTCATATTGATGTCGTTGATATATGAGTTTTTTATTGTATACATGAAAAAAGTGTAATCTTTACAAACTTCATAAAAATATCTCCTCAAGCCCTACCCTTTTCATTATTAATGGACTCAGCGACTCAGCGTACACATTCAAATATATTGGTGTTTACTGTCTGTCTGTTTAGTAAAAAAAATATGGTCGATGTGCCGCAGAAGCAATTACCAAAGGGCTCATTACTATTCTCACAAGTTATAGAATCAGTTAATAGCAAATATGATCTACCATGATTATATTGTATAGTTCTTTGGTTATTGCAGCAAAGGTCTGCGACAAAGGTCACCTTTCCTTTGGTGTGGACCAACACCTGCTGCAGTCATCCTCTCTACCGAGAGTCTGAGCTTATTGAACAGAACGCTATTGGTATATATTTCTCTTAGGTAAAGTTTGGTAAATCGTAATGCAATGCAATGTAAATTGTAACATAATCAAATACATTTTTAGTGTATACATTTGATTTGATCACATTGCATTATACTTCATTACGTTTTTCCAAACCACTCCTTAGCACATAAATGGATCACCCGTTTTAGTAATCCACTGAAACTAATCCTTTTTATGCTCTTAAAATTTTAGGGGTAAGGAATGCAGCACAAAGAAAACTTCTTGATGAGTTGGGGATCCCTGCAAAGGATGTCCCAGTTGATCAGTTCACACCATTGGGTAGGATCCTTTATAAAGCACCTTCTGATGGGAAGTGGGGAGAGCATGAACGTAAGGGGCCTTCTCTCCCTCTCTCCAAATCGTATTGTGTTATATTCTTATCCAACACATTGCTCTTTAATCACCTTTATTAAAGAAGTTTATCAGTTGAAGATGTTTAATCACCGTTGGGGATCCCTGCAAAGGATGTCCCAGTTGATCAGTTCACACCATTGGGTAGGATCCTTTATAAAGCACCTTTATTTGTTTTCGGAAAACATTATACGGATATTTTTTGAGATATAAACTAATAAGCTCTCCAAACTTTTCCCTTTACTAGAATCTTTAATCCAACTGACCCTAAATCATCTTTCCGTATTTTTGTGAACCTTTTTAGAGCTGTGTGACTGTCATAATGTCATGCACAAATTTTACCCAAATTTATATTTCAAGATATTTTTCGTGTAGAGGGGCTTTTGATGAAGATGTTTTTGAAATTTCAGTGTACTTCTTTCTGAAGAGGATGGGAAATACGGCATTCAATGGATGATTTTTTGCATTACTTTTCTAGTGCTGACCATGCTGACAATTTTTAAAAACTTCTCCTATATTTAACATCAAACTGAGGTTTAGAAAACAGAATTGTATGCTTCAGATTTATTAAAGAGAAAATAAATCATTACAATCTCGTAAGTCTTTCATCTCGTAAGTTTTTGGAATGTACGGATGTACTATAAAGCAAAAAATGGGAAGGTTAAAAAGTGCAGAGGAAATATTAAATAAAAAACAGGTTATGCTATAAATCGTTAGCACCAGTCCTAGGAAAGCAATGGTGATGAGCACATATATTCGTCCTAGGAAAGCAATGGTGATGAGCACATATATTGGAGCTGGGCGTTAAAATGTTTTTGAAAAAAAGAAGACGAATACCACTCCCAGGATACAGTAGAGCAAAAAAAGCCAAGGTACAGACGAGTAATGCGACTAGTGACAAAGCTAGCTCAATTCTGGGAGGTTTTGTTGTGACACTCATGCTGGAAAGGAGAGTGAGCGCTTCAGGATGCAGATTGGAAGTGACCGTAATTTACGTGCTTAAAATAAAGGAAAATGCTAGAAGTACAAACAAAATTACAAACCATGTTGCTATTGTAATTTCCTTTGATGTAAAAATGATGTGATGTGTTGAAAATGTGATGCTGCCACATACCTCTTTTGTAAGACTTTTTGTAAGAGTGTATATACCTTTAACATAACTCTAAAATAAAAATAAGATTGTAGGGCTAACATGGATGAAAGGAATCTTTTGTGGGCCTTCTTATTTGCCCATTTGAGTTTTTTTGATGAGGTAAGCAAAAGGGGTCCTACAGGTTAAGCAGTAATATATTGTAGTCCTACCATTTTGTGTGGAAAGCTTTCATAGGGACAATGTCAAATCTCTTGCCCTTCTATTTTTTATGATAATTTATCTTCACTTACCACAACATTTGACGAATATTTCCAGCTAAAGCAGGTTAAAATTGTAAATTTAATGGAGTCTTATACAATTACTTTTAAAACACAAAGAAAATATAGAACAGATCCAACACTGAAACTTTATCTGCAGTCGATTATCTTCTCTTCATCGTGCGGGATGTGCGGGTGCACCCAAACCCAGATGAGGTTGCTGATGTTAAATATGTGAATAGAGAAGAGCTAAAAGAGATATTGAGGAAAGCAGATGCAGGAGAGGACGGTATAAAGCTGTCTCCTTGGTTCAGATTGGTTGTCCATAATTTCTTATTCAAATGGTGGGATCATGTTGAGAAAGGCACCCTCATGAAAGCTGCTGATATGAAAACCATACACAAGTTGACCTAAAGCTTCTGTTGTTGAACCCTTGCCTCTTTCACTTTTTTTGGCCCGTCGCTCTACTGCATTTGTGTAATTTTTATAATTGATAGATACTCGGCTTATTATCTCAATGAGTGTTCTTCAACTGTACCTTTCTTTCAAGTTTTCATTTGTATTTGTAGACTATTGTGGGTTCTTATACGAAGTGTGAGTGATGCTCGGCTTATTATCTCAATGAGTGTTCTTCAACTGTACCTTTCTTTCAAGTTTTCTGTCAGGAAGGCTTATTATAATCGGCAGCTGCTTCCATTTGAGGTGTTTCTGGCCGCTGCTTGTGGTACTCTTAAAAGTGTTACTACCACAATCACTGGCAGTTGGCACACTATTAATTGGTACTCTTAAATTCTTAGTGTAATAGGGAAAGGTACTAGGTTGGAGTTCATACACAGAGAGGCTTGTGGTAGCAGCTTCGGTTTATGGGTTAATGACTTAATGTATATTAAGAACACACTACTATACATGAAATTTAAAAAAAAAAAAAAACAGACCAGGGATATATAAAAACGACGGTTTGTTTTTGAGATTATACATATACTATATGATGTCATTGAGTTATTCCTCAACTCCACTTCCGAAGCAAATAGATTCTGAATCCTCTGTCTCTTCATGAGGTGGGTCTGCATCATCTCCGCTTATCGTATAACTTGTAGCAGAAGAGTCGACCACCACCACTGGCGGAGGCTCGACCACAGTTTTTTGCTCAACCGTAGCCTTCCTTCTATTCCTACTCATCCTGCGCCTCTTCAATGTCTCGAACACGCCTCTCTCCTCCCTTTCTTCGGAGGCTTGTAACATCAAACTTTCGTCCTCGGGGTACTCCATAACGTGCCTTGCACTCACGAATGGGATGATGAGTGGTCTGAAGCAACACAGGGAGACTATGAGGAGAGCAATGTAAATGTACAATGTCGCCCACACGTAGAATGTCCATTTCCATCTATGCAACACCTCTTTCATCCAAGGAAGATGAGATTTGAGGATGATCTCAGCTCCGTATATCTGCGGGAGCTCTTGGGTTCCGGAACGTGGCATCAGGGTCAGGCGGATGGCCTCGGTTCTTGGATGGCTCTCCTTGTGCCTTATGATGGGGATAACTAACTTCTGGGTTTCAGTCGTTATTCCCAAGAGGAGGGGTAGACCCCAAATCAGTTCTCTCATGAGCCGGATTGGTTGGCTTCTGAATTGCAACATGCATGGATGGCTTGATCTGCTTGTCCTCACACCACTACCATTGGATAACAGTTCTGCATTCACCTATTCTTTGCTAATACTGTGAATTAGTATTCAAACACAAAAACTGATTGTATTCAAGAACCTTTTAAAACAGTAAAACATCTAAAAGGTGAATGTAGTAAATGGTGTTTGGTGAATAACTAGTGTTTGAGTACGTGGCTCATTTAGTATATAAAAGAACACTCCCAATTCAGGAAAATAAAAAGCTAAGAAGCCAAAGCTGGATGATGACTATTGAAATAAGAGGGTAATGTAAGCATCATATATATTCAAGTTAAAATGAAGGCTATTTAAAGCTTAATAAGCTGTAAGATGAAAAAAATAGTCTGTAAACATTGGCGCACTGTGAGCCGGGGGCATGCATTGCATAAGATTAGACTTCAATAACTTTTTAGTTGGACTGATTTAACCACAAGCCAGAGTTTTAAACAAACTATAATACACACAAAACAAACCTGGGACGGATTGACATCAGAAAATTTGGACCCAAGTGAAAACATGCTTATTATTCTTTCCACTACTTTCCTTTGAGGAAAATCTGTAACTATTAACCGCACTTACTAATGTATCACTCGTACAGTACAATAAAGAATGAAGGGATTGCCTAAAAAAAAACTACTTTCGTTTGATTGATCGAATAGTAGGGAGTAGCAATGATAAATAGATGATTACCTGGAAGATCCCAAGCTCTCTGTTATAATCCGACTCAGGCATTAGCAGAAGCAAAGAAACATAAAAGGTATGGCCAACGGGCACACCGAGAGTCTTGTGTTTGACGAGGAAGTTACCACCCTTATAATACTGCTCGTGGAAAGAGAAGGTGGCCTTGGGATGCGCTTCAGTATAGTCAAAGTTCACTCTCTCCCTCAACAACACAGGTTCCTCCACCCACCAACTCACCACCACCACGCCCAAAACCGCCGCCGCCACCAGCAAAACCATCAGAATCATCCCCACATAGGCGGCCGCCAGTATTCCGACCCCTATTTTCCTCAGCAACAGGCCGCCGTATCCTCCAGCGCCCTCCTCCGGTGTGGCGGCGTTGTTTGTGGCTGAGAGCATGCCTGGCTCCACGGCCCTGCTGGTCGTCGACCATCATTAAAATGCAAAATTAATTAAGAACATCTCCCATGCAACAATATATATTATTCATGATAATTTAAAAAGAAAGAATTGAAGAAAAAATGGAGATGAACATAATTAATAAACACTTGCCTGCTGTGGTCACCGTCGGAGTGGGAACAAAATGAGAAGAGGGAGAGGAGGGCGTATAAGCAGGCGGAGAGGGTGTTGGATGGAAGAGACAAGATGGAGTTGGATAGTGAAGGTTCATCGCCACAGGGTGTGGTGGTTGGCCGTCGTAGGGCTGAAACGGATCTTCGGTTGTACGGCATGGTCAAGCGCGCGATCTGAATGCAAGGCGGGCGGGCGTGATCTAACACTTGTAATGCCAGAAAGAAAGGTAGCAGACAGGTGTACGTACGCAGCAGCAGCATGCAAGCTGATGGCTCGACATCTGTATCTCTGCGTTATCACAATTCAAACACAAGCCTATCCAAAGTCAACGCCGTTTTTAACTCTTACAAATTGCCAAAGGGGTTTTTACCTCAAACATAACATCTCATTTTTCTACTTAGTTTATTTTAGTTTAAATATTGAACTTTTTATGTGTGATTGGACCAAAATATCCCTATTTCTGCCCCTGGACTGCTGCCAACTGCCTACCGCCGACCACAGAGCTCTAGTGGCCACTGCCAAAAAATTTTCCAGAATTTTTTCTGGACGTTTCCCAGCGTTTCTGCCTCCGGTCGCCGGAGTTCACCGTCACCGCCAGAATATGCTGCCGTCGCCACCGGACTGCCCCGCTACCATCGGACTGCCTTGGTTGTGCAAGAGAACTAGGGGGGCAATTAATTGGGTTAATTAATTGCCGGAGTTCGCCGCCGCCGCCGCCGCCGCCGACCGGCTGCCGGAGTTCTGCTGCCACCACAGACTGTCCCGCCACCGACGGACTGCCTTGGTTGTGCAAGGAAACTAGGGGGAAATTATTTAAACCAATTAATTAATTAAATAGAATTAGGGGTAAAAAATGTAAGGTTAGTCCTATTTAGGGAAAACTAAACATTAAGTCCTATTTTGGGAAAAAACCTACTCCTTCCGTCCCATTGAACTTTGCTAACTTTCCCTTTTTGGTTGTCCCAAAAAACTTTGTCACTTTCCTATTAAAGCAACTAATTTGTGATTCTGCACATTTCTCTCCTCTGCAATAGCAATAGCAATTTTTCTCATTGCCAAATAAGTGTAAATGAAAACTTAATTAGACTAAACGTTTCCTCAAAAAAAGGGTTAAACATGAATTTTATGCCCTAAATATTTCTATGAGTGTTAATTCATAATAAATGTTTTATATGAAAGCCTGCTAGACAGAGTAATTTATAAAGGCATGTGTAGAGGAATTCATCTTCCCCAACCGGTGTGGGAAAGATGATAAAAAATGAACATGCAAAATCCTTCTTTCCTTACCAAGTATTATCATTGATAATACTTGGTATTATCAATGATTTGAAACGTAGTCAACTTCAAAAAATGATTTGACTGCCTTCTTGATCGAATTTTGAGTTGAAATTTGGAATTGATAAACTAAACTTGATGAGGAACATGTTCTAAAAATTTCATTGAAAAATTCCACGGGAACTGTCTCAAACATCAAAGTTCGGACGGCAGCTCCCGTTCCTCAGGCTGGACCTGAGCATTTCTCATTGTTATTATATTATTATAATATTTTATTAATATCATTATCAACACCCATTTTTAATGGATTTTTTTTATCTAAAGTATTACTATAATAAAATTAATGGACAAAAAGACTGATTAATGATTGTGTTTTTATAGTCGGTGTAACGTAAAGTTAGAATGTAGTTGTAGTCACTATAAGTTACTCTATATCACATTTTTATCAAATTATTTTATTTTGGTCATGCACTACGTATTATTTCTTTTTATTAATACTAATATTATCATTCAACGAGTTTTTCTAGCTTTGATTTTTGTGTAACTGCAAAATATATTTGCTAGATTTAGGATTCGATAAATCTTATTTGTTGAAATTGAATGGTATGATGTTCTTGAATAAGATTATTTAATATTAAATTTAAATATTCAAAAATAGCTCTAGGGAAATTAAAATAAAAGCTAAAAACTCAAAACGTCTTTTCCCGCCTAAATCCCGCCTAAGCTCGCCTAGGCTTCAAAGGCTTAAGGCTTGACCGTGCCGCCTCGACGCGCCTTACGCCTTTTAGAACATTGGTCAAAACACACGTAATTAATTCTACTAGGGAATTTAAAACAATGTATTTTTATTTGTGATTTTAGCTACATTTTACTTTAACTATTGTTGTAAAGAAAGAGTAAATAGATAACTACAAAAACAATTACCATCAATTTTCCTTATAAATAATTCATTTGGAGATCAAATAAAAGTCTCATTTTCATCAAACGTAAAAATAAATCTCATCTATCAAATCTAATGGTGGACCCTAGCGGGTCCGGTCACGGTTCCTCATCGAAACTGCCCCGTCCAAAAAATAAAATTGTTTGGACAGGGTTCGAACCATTTTCTTCCGAGTCAAGTCCAGTTCTCAGCCAATCAAAAAAACAAAGTAAATGAATGTGAGTTAAAGACGTTTTTACTTGGAGTGTTTTCAATCTCAACCAGTTCAGACTGGCAGACTTGACTCCCGTCGTTATAAAATACACGTCAGACTGGCAGACTTGACTCCCGTCGTTATAAAATACACGGAAACCAAACGTTTACCACACCAGACCATATCAGACTAGACCAGACTTAAACAGACCAACACCTAACTTAAACAGGCCAGACCTATTATTATTATATTATTTTTTTGAAAGAACTATTATTATTATTATTATTATTATCATTATTATATTTTTGTATTATCTTATTATTTTTGTTATATTACTTTTATTGTATTATTATTATAATAATTATAATTATATTTATAAATATAACCATAATTATAATTATAATTATAATTGTTAATATAATTATTATTAATATTATCATTATTTTTTTGTAATTATTATTAACATATTAATTAAAATTATATTTGTAATTATATGTATTATTATAGAAATAAATATTATGATTATAATTAAAATTGTAATGATATAAGTAATTATAATTAAAAATATTATTACAATTGTAATTGTATCTATAGTTATAATTAGTGTAATAGCTATAATTATTATAATTATAATTTTAATTATTATTATTATTATTATTATTATTATCATTATTATATTTTTATAATTATATTATAATTTTAATTAAATTATATTTATAATTACAATTGTAATTAAAATAATTATAATTATATAAATATTCAAATCAGATCAGGAAGATTCAGATCAGAAACATTCAGATCAGATCAGACAAGATCAGAAAGGTTCAGATTAGATCAGGAAGATTCAGATCAGATCAGAACAATTCAGATCAGATCAGAAAAGTAAAGATCAGAACTTAAAAAATTCAGATCAGAAACATTCGGATCAGGTGAAGAGAACATCTTCTTAGTCTAATAGATAGTACTCCGTAAGTGACTTTTTAAATACATATTACGTAGAAACTTCCATAGGCCTGCTAGGCTGCAACACAAACATAAAGGGATGACATATTGACATATACCGAGCAATTATGTATAAGCATCTCCCGTACGTCAATACAGCATCTCATTGAAGTATAATGACCTACATATTCATTGTTTTTACCAAAAATAAAAGAATTAGTATGTAGCAAATCCAGATCAAAATTGGGAATACATAAAGATTTCAGTCATAAAAAGTTAAATAAATTGTCAAAATTCAAAGGTTTGGATAAAAATAGGGAAGCTAAACTTGGGCAATCCCTGCAGGCTTGCGAGCACACTCTTCTTCTCTGTTGTAGAGTAAACGTCTCTTTCTTGAGGCAGTATAGCGATAGATAATGCTCTGAAGGGAATGCCGGATGCAAGGAGCATCATATTCTTCAAGAAACCTCAAGTCAGATTCTCTCCACTTTGTGCCTGCAAAATGTTTGTACTCTTCCAACACAGAAGACAAACACCAGTTTTGCAACTTCCTTAGACACCCAACCAGACAGCCTGTTCGGTGCTGCAATAGAGCAGGGGGTTAGCAACCACCAGTCAAGTAGCTGGTCTCCAGTGAGACCGGTGAGCTTTAAGCCACATCTGTGAAATTAGAAGAAGTTCCTCTGCATAGGCTAATACATCTATCTTTTTTCTAAATAGGACCATATATGTTTTATTCCTAACCTTAGTACTCTCCCTGTTCCTATTTAACTATCAAAATTGATGAACTTGTTCTTATTTTATCTAACCATTAATGAAACGAATTTACCTTAAGTAGCATATAGTCCCAAACTTATCCTTCTTAATATATTCAATTTACCCTTTTCGCCAATGGGAAAATAAATGGGAGAGTCACTATAATGAGGAGAAATTAGACAGTATCATAAATTTTGACTATTTTTTCCCCTCAATTCATTTTCTTAAGATGTATGATTTCATCAAACAAGATAAACTAACATGAACAGAAGAGTACTTAATGTAAAAAAAAAGAATGCCAAAGTTACTATCCAAAATACCCTCATATCCAAATTAATTTTCAAACATTATACTCAAACCCACTGACAACTGCAGCGGCTAAGCAATCACCGACCTCAGCCCATTAACTATAGCTGCCATCTTGATGTACACTGACTAGTGATTAGTGGCTCGCGGCTCGCTGACGCCGGGTATGAGCCAGCACCAGCAATTTATGTCAGCAGCCGGTGGTGTGGCTCTCACTGACCACTGGGCAGTGAAACAAGGTGATCAATGTCACAGATAACAAGTCAGTGACCAGTCCTCGGAGGTGAATGAGAACACGAGATGGCTGGGTATTTTGGTCCAATCATTGAATCATGAAAGCTTTTGTCTCAGAAGACTAGACAGAGTACAAGATAGAATAAGTTTTTCATGACAATGATAAGTACGGAGTACAAGATAGAGTTCGAGACCTTATAAATAATTGAATAGAAGATTTTCTTTCATGAGAGAAAAACCATACAAACTAAAAATTAGTAATTTGGCATGCTACCTTCCCGCGCTTGCAATGGATCAACACCGGATGATTTCTCACATCTGGAATACAGAATTGAAAGGACAGAATCAATACACCTTAGCCCTACATTTAATTACATAGAAATAAGCTGAAAACAAGATGTTCTCAAAAGAGGAAGTCGTCTCCTAATAAATATAAGGGAATACAGTAAAATATTTACCCCCGCCCAAAAAATAAATTCAGAAAATATACTTGCAGGAAATTGTTTTAAGACGGACACAAAGTAGTTTGAGGTTCATAGTAAGGCTCATACCAATTAAGACTCTAAGAGCTTCAGTTATGGCACTCCTGGGTATAGCAGATGGTTCCTATAAAGAGAAGTATCAATCAATTAATTACTAAAT